TTTATTTTAATTAAGGATTCCCATAGTGACAATCTCTATTTCTTTAATTTACATTGCCTAGAAAATTAGCCCCTTGGATAATGGATGTAATAATTGCTGAAATGTATTATGGGAATGTACTATACAAAGTTGGTGCATTGCCAATATTACTTGCATGTTTCAAAGATAAAGAACATACTTCTTTGTCTGTCCCTACATTCACATTAAACTTAAAGCTCTGGAATAAAGTGAAGAATGGAATGGGTACTTAGTATTACAGATGAGGTTTTAAAGGCAATGCAAGGGATTTGCAGTATTTCCTTCTAATTAATTTCTTCCACTGTGGATGCCCTACCTGACTGTCTAAGAAGTTATTTTTCTTTCTCCTACATTTTTGTGGGATGTTTCTTTGGCTCAAGGACTATGCTTTCCCCTCTTATAAATGGACACCTGTGACTTAATATTTGATAGACTGAGGAAGACTTGCATTAGTTCCAACCTCCTAACCGATATGCTTCACTATTTTGGAAAAACCTTAAGTGAAGGACTGGTCTCTACTTTACCAAGACCTGGGAAAATGTAAGGAAAACTTTCTTCATCCCTGTGGCAAAATTTGTCTTTTTGATTTTACTTGATTCAAACTCATAATTGCTCATTATATCTTTGACAATTATATTTGTTAATTGTCACATCACTAGCTTTGCATTGGACAGGTCTTTCACTCTTCTGCAAATTGTAATTCTATTCAGAGTTTTAATTCTATTTCAAAATCTATATTTTTGGAAATTCCATATTTATCTTTATTCAGCTTTCTAGTCCTTATAACAATAAAAGTGAGTAGGTTCATGTCTGGTTGAAAGCTTAGTAATCAAATACAGCTCTATACAGCTTTCCCATAGGTCCTATTAAACTTAACCTTTCTTTTTTTTCTAATATGAAAGGTGAAATAACATATGACAGAGGTTATCATCATAATCTAGTGGTCTTTTCCTGTAATGTTCCCATTCTAATGTCTAATCCTGTAATGTTCTCATTTGAAACATTAAAATAAAGCATTTTTCATTTTGCTACATATAATCATGTTGTTTCAAAATGATGAATTTGAAGGCTTTAACATTTAATAGGAAGAAGGTATTTTTAAAATTTAAGTAAAAAGTATTATTATCTCTTTCAAAACAGAACTGATGCAATTCAGTATAAATATCAGGAATTACCAAATTTTTCACATCACATTACTATAATGTGACCTTTCCAGAGGCATACTTATAACTTTTTTTAAATGGATTGAATGTCACCAGATTGCCAAATCCTACAATATTTCATTAATTGCATCCCCAGGACAGAAAAATATCTCAAATTTATCGGTTGTGCATGTGTATGCATTTAAAAATAATGTTAGAACTCTAATATGCTGTTTAGAGTGTTCTGGGTAATATGGCACTAGTGCACCCTGGGTTATCAATTCCTGATATGTACAGAATAACAAAATCTCATTTAATGTTGTAATAGTACAGTGGCACAGAACTACAGGAAGAGAGCTCATTACAGGTAGTCCTCAACTTACAACCACAATTGAGTCCAAAATTTATGTTGATAAGCAATACATTTGTTAAGTGGGGTTATCTCTTTCTCTTACTATCTTATTGTCCATGTTATTGAGCATATATTCTATTCTACTTTTATTAAGAGTTTTTTTTAAAAAAAAAAACCTCAGTGATTGACAGCTGCTGGGTTGAAAACCCATCATTTTCTACTCATTTCTCCATCTGCATCTAGAGCATGAAACTGTTAATCATTCTTTCAAACATCAAAGAAGCCCAGGCATGGTTTGATCTGGAAAGGTAGGATGATCACTGCATATTTATATTTAGTTCCACAGGCTTATAATATTGAGTAGGTTTTTTTATTTATTTCCTCACTTTTTGTGCATGTATTAGCAGCAGGTGAAATCATAGGAGAAAGAACTAATGAATATGCAACTAGGCCATACTGAAAAACATGTTGAAAGCATACCATTATCTTAGCCAGCAGTATCAAGTTAAGATGAAGCAATATATTTATACAAGATTTAACTGCAATGATATCTAGAGAATTTTATCTTCAGCTTTTAAAGTCTGTGGGGAGAAACTAGGCTCTTGCCTTAGCAAATAGCATAGATGATGACATTTATATTTGAAAAATATACCTAGGAATTCACACTGAATAACTCCAACATCAAAAAGTCTTCATCACTGTCTCACATTTGTGTCTGCTTGGCACACTGGATCTAGCACTCAGGCTCCTTTGACTCTTATCAAATCATTTCTTCTCCAGTATCTACTTACTTACCCTTAAGTGAAAAGAAGGGTCAAATGTGACAGAGAAATACAACTAGCAATCTGTGTCCCTCGTCCTTTCTTTAACTTTTTTGACAAATGCACAATCAAGATGACATTAGACAGCAGCAGCATTGCAGTATTTACAGCACTACTGTGTTGTTTGAAATATCTTTTTCCTCTTGGCATTATGACCATGGGCTTCTGCTATGTGTAGTCATTTTGTAGGGTAGAAGAATATATGATAGATAAACATGCTTAGCTGTTCTTAACTTATACCGAAGGAAAATGGTATTATTCATGTATTTATTTTCCACCTTCACTCTAAAGAGGTGCTCTGCAGTGTATTAAAATATCCTGTAACATAGATTGAGATGGAACACTAAGGACACAAGGACAATGACAGAAAATCACTGCCTCTGCTTCTCTCTTGACTTTATTTATTTTAAAATTTTATAAGGTCTGAATTTTGATCACATGACCATCGGATGCTGCAACGTATGCAACTTATGTCATAAGTCACTTTTTTCACTGTTGTTGTAACTTCGAACTGTCACTAAAGGAACTGTTGTAAGTCGAGGACTTATAGACCTGTACAATCTATAAGATGATCTTGCACACACACACACACACACACACACACACACCAGAAAAGTACTTGTTGTGTTCAAACATATTTTATGTTATCTGTTAGCCTGGAACATTAAATTTAAGGATGTTGCTAAACCGCCGTGCAAATTATCACAAGAACTAGTGATCCTTGTAACTTACAATGAATAATCCATTATCTCTGATGTATTATACTGTTTTCACTCATGTAGCCAGACTAATGGGCCACGTTTAAAGTATGAAACATTAATTAAAACACCTTTTCATTCCCTTAGAAAACAAAAATTTCATCTACATTAATAATTTTCAAATGCAGAACTCTTAATTAATTTAAGCTCTATTAACTGTAGAATCAGCTTGTTCACAGGCTGCATTTAATTATGCTCTTTACAAGCAAGGCCAATGAAAAGTCATTGTGCTGCTCGAGGCAAATGTTAAGACGAACTTCTTTCTATGTAAGAAAATCTACTGGTTAGCATTTGAATGGTATTTTAGTATTGGTAGCAGGATTGGTTCCTTCATAGCTATGATCAACTGGTTGGTTTGAAAATATAAAAATACACATACATTTGTTCTCAAAAGGAGAAAGGAGCTTAGTTGCTTCTACTGCCCCAAGAGCACCTTATTTTACCATTTTTTTTTCCAGCAGAAATGTCTTCTATCAATCTTCTGCTTGCCTAGACTTGGGAAGGGACTATATGTATGCAATTAATTTAGATAATATATTGCTTTAATATTTGTTCTATACTTGTCAAATTTATATTATCATTATTTCTTTTTTTAAATAAAAATAAAAATATATATTCTATGAAACCTTTCCTCTGCTAAACCATTTTTGAAATTTAGGGGAAACATGAAAAAAATGTTTATGTTGTATATGCTTACTAACTAGTGGACATGATTTACATGCTTCCAGCAGTCTAAACATACTTCATATTTCCCATTTAACTCTGACATATTTGTTTTAAAAAAACACAAAAAGCACCAAAAAACCCAACATTTTCACAATATTTTGTGAAGTCATGGCGGTGCAGTAGTTAGAATGTACTATTGCAGGCTAACTCTGTCCTCTGCCAGAGATTCTATCCTAATGGCTCAAGGTTGATTCAGCCTTCCAAGGTTGGTAAAATGAGGGCCTAGTTGTTGGGGGCAATATGTTGACTCTTTAAACCACTGTAAAGCACTGTGAAGCAGTATATACATCTAAGTGCTATTTCTAGTACTAGTGCTATTTTGTGTTGAATGTGCTGAGTATCAAAATTGGAAAAAGAATCTGGGACAGTATTGAAGCTATATTCTCACCATCCATAGCATTTTACCAGCATATAATTGCAATGGATTGGTTGTATTAAGTATAAATACTACTTTATGGGTTGAATTCAAAGATGTGCTGTGGAAGTAAATTCTTGGAGTGTGTTTTTATATAAATTGCTGCTAAAGCTAATAAACTCTATGGATGGGAGGTTTTTAAATTTGGGGAAGGAAGGAAAGAAGGAAGGAAAGAAGGAAGGAAGGAAGGAAGGAAGGAAGGAAGGAAGGAAGGAAGGAAGGAAGGAAGGAATTGATTGGCTGCATAAGCACAAAACAAGAAGACTTAATTCTGGAGAACGTTTGCCATTCTATATCTATGCAATGTCTGTGTGATATTATGTAAAATACAAGAGTCTGCAAGATATCAGAATTGAAAAATGTAGGCCAGTGCTATGAACCTATAAGAACACATCTTGGATTCCATGTATCTTTTCTTCTAAGGATTTCATTCTAAGTCAGTAAATATCTTTTACTACCTGGAAGGTAGAGTTTATTCTATATGGCTACATTTATAAATATAATAAAAATTAGAGCAAAGCATGTAGAAATATGTAATTCAACTGACACTGTAATTACAGTGTTTACAGCATAACTTAACCTTGCCGTCTGTTGACGTTTATTTAATTTTAGAAACAAATACTTTCTCTATTTCTCCCTGTTTTTCTTCTGAAATAATGCATAAATTGTAGAAGAATATAAAAATTAGCTTCAGAAATGATTTCTTGGTAATGAGTATGAAAATATTAACTAATTACAATACTTGTCATTCTTTTTTACCCATCATAGATTTATATATTTGAAAATAACATATATTACCAGCCTGATGTAAAGAGCAGCTCTTTGAGATTGACATCTTCTGGGAAGGAAGGGATTGTTTTTAATGGAATTGCAGACTGGTTATACGAAGGTAAATTGCACAATAAAAATTGCTATATGAATGCAAAACAGCTTATCCTTGCTCAACTTTGAAGAGAAAAAAAACATTATTGTGGGATAAGCATTTTCAATATTTCTTGGGAATGTGGTAGCCCAGGTATATTTTACACTCCTAGGGAAATCAATACCAAAGTAGAAACAACATTTTTTGGAGATGTTTCGTTATTTTCAGGGAAGGTTCTTTGGTGCAATGGTTGAGAAATGGAGATTTCCTTACAATGAATTCTGAGGAATTGGATAGTAGTTTGATGTTTCCTTGGAAACACTGGTTGATTTTAAACAAATCATTGAGATTAATAAAGAGAACAAGATCCCATCCTTAGACTTTCTCATAACTAAGTTGAATGATGATAATCTGCAAATCCAACTTTACAGAAAATCTATCCATATAGAACAAAACATATACTATCATAAAAGCCACCACAGAAAGCATAACATCAGCTGCATATGAACAATTGTCAACAGAGCAAAAAAAAAAAAAAAAAAATACAGCTCACCAGCACCCTCACAACAGGTGGACTCAAGAATCTCTCTCAATATGAACAATGATCCTACTTCAAATGTCCTTTAAAATGCACTATGACTATAAAATATGGAAATCCCAATTATGCATGTTTTTTTTTTACCTGAAGAGAAATAACTTGCATGGGGAAGATAAGGGAAATATTTTTTAGTTAGTATTCTATAAATTCTTTTTTTTTTCAGTGGAGTGTAGAAGTGCAGCTAAATAATTTTGAAGTGTGAATTTCAGAGAAAAGTGAAGTATTCAATTTAGTTTAAAATAGAGGACACCATCCTTTGTAGTTTCCTTTTTTTTCTTTTATGTTTCTAAGAGCAAAATGTTTAGATAAAATTGATGTATCAAACATCCTTCCATGGAAATCTAAATGTTACTGTGTTTTCCTGAAAATAAGACAGAGTCTTATTTTCTTTTGACTCTGAAATAAGTGCTTGGGCTTATTTTCGGGGAGGTCTTATTATTTTTGAGGTGCAGGAGGCGGGGAGTGTGGTCACCTCATGGCTGCTGCTGTGTTGCAATATTTTTGGGGAGGGCTTATTTTGGGGGAAGGGCCTATTTTAGCACACTTGCTCAAATGCCCAATTGGGCTTATTATCCGGGGAGGTCTTATTGTCAGGAAAATAGGGTAATATTTACTAGTAAATCTGATAAAAATGCTAATTTCATGGGTTTATTTATTTTTTCCTCAGAGGAGCTGCTTCATTCGCACATTACTCACTGGTGGTCACCTGATGGAGAGAGGCTGGCATTCCTTATGATAAATGACTCATTAGTACCAAATATGCTTATTCCTTGGTTTACTGGATCTTTGTATCCCAAAGGAAAACTGTATCCATATCCAAAGGTAAGGAAATTGAGTAATACTTTCTTATTATTAATGCATGCTTTATTTAATTGTTCCCTTACCCACAATTACTTGGAGAAAACAGTCATTGGAGTTGAAGAGAACAACTCTATTAAGGTAGCTAAAAATAAAAGATTTAAGCATTTTTTTTATTACCAGATATAATTACAGACTTCCTAGTCCCAGGAGACTTATGTGAATGTTTTTGTGAATTAATGAACTAATGTAGTCTCTTTTTTTGTCACCTGTTCAACGTAAGATCAGGTTAAGGCATGAGATGAATGGCAAACAAATTTAACAAATAAATTAACAAACAAACAAACAAACAAACAAACAAATAACTTAAATAAATTATTAAATAAATAATTCCAGTTCTTCTCTCTGGTTAAGATTTAGCTGACCTTAGGCTATTTACCTCTTCTATTATGTCAAATAACCACTGTAAGATGTAGAATATACTAACAATGCTTTACCTCCAGGCAAAGCTACCTTTTCCTATGCTATGAACACCACTTTGCAAATTATACCTAAAACCATATCAGACATAAAACCATCTCAGGTATGCGGTCATCACATCTAGAATATATTATTGCAATGAGCTTTATCTGAGACTGCTTTTGTAGACGGCAGCTGGTGTGTTATAAGCAATTAGCTGGTAAGTAACAGCCACCATAATTACTTAACATCAGTGCTTTAGGCCCTGCATTAGTTATCAGAAGGCTTCTCAGCACAATTCAAGGAGTTAATTATTACTAATAATTCATTCATGTATTATATTTCCTGGGGTGCACAATGGGAATATAATAAGTTGAACTTTTCTGCTGGAAAGTAGACAGTCCAGGTTCAAAACCCAAGCATTGCATGACAGGATGAGCTCCTATTACTCGGTTCAGCTCCTGACAATCCAGCAGTTCAAAAACATGAAAATGCAAGTAGCTAGTGAATGCTGTCACTTTGTGTAGGACTTCTTATTGGTTTTATAGTTTGTTTTTATTGTTTTATTGTAACATATTACCATAAACTTCTAGAACTTTTGCTGGACTGTGGCAGTCCACAGGAATAGTAAAATAAAGAAACTATTTAAAAACATTAAAGAACCTGTGAAAGTTAGAATTGAACATGTAGTTTAGCATGAATTCAGGTCAGGATGAAGTATGCATGAACTTGTTAAATCAGTCTGTTTTCCGTCCCCAGCATGGTTTCTTTTTTATTGTTGTTTTTACTTATCATTTTTTTGTTTTTAACCTTTACATTCCACCCAGTGTAATTTGGTCAGTGGGCAACATTAGAAATTGAATGAATATATTTTAAAAACTAAATAATGTATTACTCTGAACTAGGGTCTCTTTGACAATTATATTTATTAAATTTGATTTTTTTAAAATATGAAAATATTATACAGATAACTTTACAGCATGTAAAATTAAATGTACATCAGTGGATATTTTTCATATGTTTTTGCTAGGAGTAGAATTAATTCTACAGCTCTTCTATTACTTTATTTCAAATTGAACAGTACAAAAGGAAACACAGAACAAAGGATAAAATTTAAGATTCAATTAAACTTATGATAAAGAAATTATAAAAGTCTACCATAATTTATTACACAGTGAACAGATTTATATTGTTAATAAATTGTAACCTTTATTTAATTTTTTTGTTCATTTTAGATTCATCTTAATTATTAAGCAAATTATATATAATATAGACTAAGACTTTATGTGTTGCAATGTTTTATTTCACTAGGCAGGTTTAGTAGTTTATTTATGACTACTTTTATAATTATTTTTACTCCTTATAAAAGCATCATCCCTTTTTTGTATTTTATACAGTTATTTGTATTCACAAGGAAAAAAGGAAAATAAAATAAGTGTGCAGGAATTTAGGTCTTATTGTATATGCCAATGCATGGCCATCAAATTAGGATCACTCAATACTCTGTCATAGAATATCAATGAGATATCTATGTGACTTGTATTTAAATATTCCATTCATATTTCATCAATACTGAAATGTTTTTATTTTTTAAAAGGCAGGTGAACTGAATCCAGTAGTCAAGCTTTATGTTGTCAATCTATATGGGCCAACACATACATTGGAACTCATGCCACCAGACAGTTTTAAATCAAGGTAAGCAGGTTAGAAGTTGATATTTAACCTACTAAACTATAACTATATTCCAAAGAGCCAGCTTGGTGTAGTGCTTAAGGCACTAAAAGGAAAGGAGATGGCAAATTCTAGTTCTGCCTTAGACATGAAGCCAATTGGGTGGCCTTGGTGGCCAATCGTTCTCTCTCAGCCCTCAGAAAACACAATGCCAAACAACTTATGAAAATCTTGCCAAGAAAACTGCAAGAACCAGTTCAGGCAATCACCATGAATCAACACTGTCTTGAAGGGCTACGAGCAAAACGTTAAAAAAAAAGAGATGGGGATGGAGGTTAACTCTAGCTATAGAAAACCAAGCCTTGCATACAAATGCATACAAAGTTTGAACTGAGAAGACAGCAATAGATAGCAAATGTTGCCTCTGCAAAGAAGCTGAAGAAAGACTGGACCATTTAATTAGTTGTTGCAAGAAGACCACATGGATTGACTACAAACAATGACAAATAATGACATGACAAATTAGCAACAATGATACATTGGAATATCTTCAAGAAATATATATTTGTCTGAAAGCAAAAATTAGTGGGATCACAAAATAGGCAAGGTAATAGAAAATAAAGAAGTTAAAGTGCTATGGGACTTTACAAACAAACAAGTACCAGACTTAACAACTGTCAATAAGAAAGACGAAAAAATAATAATCTGGATAGCAGATGTTGCTATACTTGGAGACAGCAGAATAATAAAGAAAAAAAAATGGGAGAGGGGTCACAAAATACAAACATCTGAAAATTAGAAATAGAATGTAACAAATAAAGCAAAGATAGTACCAGTACTAATAAGGCACCTTAGGTGTAATCCCAAAATATCTGGAGAACCACTTGAACACTATTAGTATTGACAAAATCCCCATCAGTCAATTGCAAAATGCCAATTTACCTGGAACAGCTTACATCCTTGCAACCAGTATTTTCAGTACCATCAACAGTGATATCTGCCTAGATGCTTAGGAAGAATTCAATAGATGGATAAATATGCCAAATCCTGGCTAATCATGTGGCTGACTATAAAATGACATAATAATAATCTGGTTTTTTAAAAATCTTATAGATTGATTTAAGGTAATAGATTGAAAATGTTATTGTAGAATTGAACTATTAATTTTTTTTATAAAGTATTTGACATTGTTTTCATAAAAGATATACAAAGAGAAGAGAATCTTCCTTACAAAAGATATATTTGTTCATGCAGACAGAAAGAGAAGTAGCATTATCGGATTAAATTTGACAAGATTTTAGGTTTAGGCTTGCAACAATGAATGGAAAAGATTAGAACTTCAGAAAGCCTCTCTAGATATCACATTCAAAGTTCCAAACACTATAATCACTGAGTTAAAGTGGCCTGTTACTTTTCTCACTAAAAGAATGCTTGATTCTGAAAACTGACCATTTCTTTAAATGAATTGAATTTCAAATTAAAATTAAACAAAAGCATCAATAAAAGAAATACAAGATAGGGAAATTCTCTGAATTTCAAAGAATCTAGAATGAACTTTTGCTGATTGGGATGGAGAATAAGAATTTAAATATTTGTTCATAGAGAATGAGATGAGATACAGGATGAAAATATTGTTTATTGTATTTTAACAAATGGCAATTAAAGTTGTTAATATTCACCAGGATGGATTCTTTCTTTCTTTTTGTTCCCTTTTTTCTTTGCACATTCAATTTTTATCTTTTCATTTTTGTAGTTTGTATTAGTTTGATGTATATGTGTTATTTTCAATAAAATGATTACAAAAATTATTTTTTAAATTAGATCTTAATACATGCAAATGTTAGATTATACAGGAGTGAGTTCTAAATCATCAAATTAAAAATACATTGTATCCTATAGTGAATTTTCCAAGCAGTAAGCAAACCCCCCAAATATTATATATCTAAATAGATAACAGGTCTATTTTTCTTTTTTTTTAAATTGTGGGTTTGTGCAAGCTTACTAAAAAAAAATTCATGTATTTGATACATTCTCTTTGAGTTGCAAATGGTTTTAAGCAATCATCCAGCTGTCATATCACAAAGCTTGAGTATGTGCATTCCTGGAAAATCAATTTTAATTTTACCTATGAAAGTATTGTATAATGCCCTAGTTACGGAAAATTGGAATTGGACATGATAAACGAAAAGCATTGAAAAATATTTTAAAAATCCAAGACATAGGTTATATTTTCTCTTTCTTTTACCCACTCCAGAACAAATTGAGGTTTGTTGACCCTTTATTTTATACACATTGAAATAAGTCCATAGTCTGCAGCAATATATTTCTGATATGCTTGATGTTTTTTACTATTTGTGTTCAGATGACACAGTGTCAGCTATTAAAGAAAAATAAAGAGAAGGGCATGTAGAAACAGTGTTCTGATAAACGAACATATCCAGCAGAAGAACTCTATGTTAACTGGTGTTGCCATTCCCAAGCTGTAATCAAACAGAAATTTTTATACAAACAGAAATGGAAAAGGTAATACTTTCTCCATTACTTCATCTAGAAATGCCTACAAGGATAACTCCCTAAAGAGGCAACTGGATTTTCTGGTTTTCATTTGAAGAAGTTTCACTTCTCATCCAAGAAACTTCTTCAGCTCTTCAAAGAAAAACCAGAAAGTCCAGCTGCTTCTTGAAAAAAACACTTTTGGGACAACCATGACCCGAATGACTGAGAACCTCCATAGACATCAAGAATAAGCATCATGACAAGCTTGAAAAATTGATATGTGGTTTAGATGAAACATCAGAAAAATTCAAAATCAAGAATATTGGCAAAGTAATTGTCTCCTAACTTGCTGAATGTAAACATGAAAGACAAAGGGCCCTCCTTTGATATGCTTTTGAGATCAAGTCTTGATTGCTAAGATCTATAGTATTTTATCTCCAAAGATAATTATAAAGATGATGAATTGTATGTATTGGTAGAATTCCACCAACAAGCAACTTCTATTTACATAAATTCTTTTTATATTAGTATCAAATGTGATACTTTAATTTTGTTCATATAAATCATATTATAAGCACTTTTACAATTTATTATATTTTGTTAACCAGATAATACTCAAGAGAAATTACACAATTTTTAGAAGAGCATGAAGCTATTTACAAAAATAGTGTAAAGGAGTATGATAAATGACAACAAAGGATGAATATAAGAACTCCCAAAAGTGCTTTTTCAAGAGCCAACTGGACGTTCTGGTTTTTCTTTTGAAGACATTTTGCTTAGAAGCTTCTTGGATGACAAGCGAAACATCTTCAAAAGAAAAACCAGAAAGCTCAGTTCCCTCTCGAAAAAACACTTTTGGGACAACCATGACCTGGATGACTGAGAATCTCTATAGATGAATGCAAGAAGTGTTCGATAAACATCAACTTAACCTTGGAAAGGAAGAGAGGAAGAGAAAGAAAAAAATATTACTCTGATTTGTTTTTTATATATAAGAGGGAACAATTCTATTATAAACCTAGTAAGTTTTCAAGATTCTGTTATTATATCCCATAACAATAAAATAAAATTCTCATAGCCCTTCCAGTTGTCTATTCCTGGCCAGCTTTGAAAAGCTGACATCATGCTTGAAAGTGTCACTACTTTATAAAATAACATTTTGGATGAAATGCTCATTTGATATTTGAGGCATCCCATTGTCTGAAAGATGAGTTGCTGAACATGATTACAGCATCAACAGCAAGTGATTATATATATAAAACAAACCTGCACAATGATGTGGTACATCTAACATAGAAATTGTGACAAAATTTCGCTCAGCTAGAAGACACTCAAAACACTTCTGTCCAACCAATGTTATTCTCATTGAAGTTTGTCAGAGAACTTTGGAGGACTTCAGGATCAATTTTTGACTATAACAACCCAAATGAATTGTTTATAGTGGGTTGGACAACAGAATTGCTTTTCCTTTCAGTCTGCAGAAAGGAGGAATAACCAGTTGGTCTGTGCCTTTCATTGAGAGCAATAATCAATTACTGGACAATTACCAGATCTTCATTCAAATATTAGACCTTTTGATGATTCCGGAAGGAGAGTTACAGCAAATTACTCATGGCGAGATGCGCGGCAAACACATTTAATAAACAAATAAAATTCACAAGCTAAAGCAGGTGATCACAGATTTCATGAGTATCTAACCAGATTGCAATCATAAAACAGAAATGTGGAATGATGTTATTCTGATTGACCAGTTTGGGGAAGGAATTGCTGATGAACTGAGAGATGACTGGGGCAAGGCATATTGTCAAAATGCTCTGTGGCATTTTTTTTTTAAATTTATGTAAATGACTCTGGGTGGCTTACAATATTGATGGAAGATTGAAAAAGTTGAGACACCGAGGAAAGAATATGGAAAGTTTCACAGCCTCTTTACATCCTTATACCCCACTCTGTGGATACCTTAGATGCCAACACTGGGGAAGCCATACAAATAAGAGCAGGTTTTTATCTACAGCAGAAAAACAACAGAGGAGAAAACACAGTTTGTTTCTACTGTGGAGCTATAGGGCATCTAACCAAGACTTGCATTACTAAAGTACAGATCCCTGAATCAGTTATTAAGTGCCACAACTGTGGACTGTGTAGCAAGTTAATGCTGAAATCCTTCCAGAGTATCATCTTTGGAGATCCTCAAAGATTTCCCTCCCAAGATCTCAACAGAGAGTCTAAGGCAGTGAAAAGTTCAGACAATAGCAAAAAAGCATATTTTGCTTTTGTTACTCTTTGTACACTCTCATACTTAAAAATACAACTTTCCACTCTTCTAGATTCAGGTGCACAGCTAATGTCAGAGATAAGATAATACTGCAGTTTAAACTGCTGACAAAGAGAAATGTTTATTTATTTGTGGAAACAACTGACAGGCAAGCACTTTGACCTGCTTTTATCGTACAATGTACAATGCTTTTACAATGGATAATAAATGATCCTACAGAATTATTTCCATTCCATTTTATCACAACCTATTT